TTTTAAAATTCCCAGAGTCCAACACAGAACTTATTAGGAGACTCACTTAAGGAAATAGAACATCTTAACCCAGATTGATTATAGCTCTTGCTGGTAACAGCTGGCTTCAAATTAAACTGAAAAAATGTATATGCATTTTGAAGCAGTTTAAGAACATATCATAAATAACTATTGTATGATTATTTCACAGAATGATTTATATGAAATTGTAAGCTTAGAGCCATTTGTAACTGTAATTACTTTAGTTATAGTATGAAGAAAACATTAGCACTTCCATCTCCTACACTGCAGGCAAATAGTTTCCTATTCAACAGTGAACCAATGGATGCTGTCATCTTCTAATCGTACAAACTATTTGAAAACACCTAATCAAATCATGGTTCATAGTCTAAAACTCTGGATGTAAAATACTTTAGCATTTTTGTGGTTTTTAAAACTAAAAATAGTAAGTAGTGTAGATATTGTAGAAAGTCAATCAATTAAGAAAGAGAATGAAAAAATATCTCAGAAGCTGCTATATGTGTAATGTCATTTTACATTACAGACTGGACAGCAAGAGCTCTGCTAACTTAATTTGGTGCATAGCATAATTTTATGTTAGAAAAAATTAACGAGAAAATAGACATCACATTGCAATCTGACCTCTATTTGGCTTAACAAGGATCTGGCACTGTTATTGATATCAAGCTGATTGGAAATTCTGGTTATCAATACATCTTCCAGGTAATTATTTCCTGCATGGATTCTATTGATCTATTTCAAACTGATCTCCAGTACTCTAGTACTGATCTCCATTGGTAGGAGGGGATGAATGGGGACTATTGGCTTGCTCCTAGCTGTCATTCATTAATTTCCCTCTATGTGACCCCTAATAGCTCCATATAAAAATCAATTTTTTTGAAAGGATAGAAAATGATCAAATACTCAAGCATTTAAAATAATTTTGGGGTGAAAGCATAAATTAAAAATTCAACAACTCTGCTGTCAGAATCTCCATATTAGGCAGCTGTCAGCAGAGTTCCCTCATAACACTACTGTAAGAGTTCACCTTGCTGAAATACCTCTTTACAGCGCAGCAGAAGCTGAAGAGTACCAAGGTGGACTACAGAAAAATATATAATACTTTAAATATGATGATGATGATGATGAACTAACCAACCTCCTTCAGTGTCCTGAAATTGAAGTTGCTGATTTAGTACTAAAATGCTTATAATAATATGGAATTTCAATCTTTGCAAATATGTTTCTTTTCTTTCGATGGCTGGATATGGACTCAACTGAAACTCAGCTAATTGTTTGAATAAGTTGTCTTACTTTTGTCTCATTTTGTCTCATTATAGGAAAGATGGGACAAAAGGATTGTCCCCAGTCCCTGCACACAGTGAGTAATTTTGGAGTAGATGATGAGCAGATCAGTGATCAGTTCATTTCTGATTTATGAATAACTGCAGGCTCTATTTGTTTTACAAATAAATACATTTCAGGCTGACATTTTCCAGTTAATATTTGTAAGTGGCATACAATTGACTTCAACTGTCAATTAAGCTGAAGAAAGTCTGAAATAAACAGCATATAATTCAACAAAAAATGGTATTAAAATTGTAAATAAGCTTTGTAAAAAGAATTTAAAAGGATATTTGAAGCCTTTATGAATATCCTTGTTACATTATATACATAAAGTCCATAATCTATACACAAAGTCCATGTAACTGCTTTACTCATAACTATAAAAGTGAATCTGCAAGAACAACCAGCAGTTCTTAAGCAGCAAGATTAAGACTTTCATGAAAATTCCTTGCAGAAAAATATAAGACTTATGGCACCAAATTTTGTTCTGCTTTTCACAGTTATCAATCATTATACTGAGTCAAGGTGCCCTCTTTTTGTGACAGTGAGGGAGAGCTAATTATCCTATAGCAGACTGGAGTTAATTGAAAAAAGTCTACCTGATTCTACATGAATAGCCCTTTATTTGGAAGGTGTTCTAGAGATATGCACTTCTATTTTGAACTAAAGAAATCACAGACACTACTGTCCATTCTTCATTATTTTTGTTGTTGAGTTTTTTCTTTGTTTTGAGTTTGATTTTGTTTGGTTGTTTTGTTTTGTTTCACGAAGGTTGCAAAAAAATATAAGTTAAGATGTAGTTATACTCATGGAGTGTAGAGGCTCTGCTGTTCCCTTACAGCTGAGTATGACAGAAAACTGAAGCAGTTATGTTGCTGCTGGTGGTATGTTAAAATATCACTGGCAGAAAAAAGTGCTTTGCATTGTGCTCTCCTGAGTATGTCGAGAGAAGCCGAACTATCTTTAGCTAAAAATAAACCACACCATTAAAATTGGCTTCTCAGGCACAAAACTCTGTGCACAACATCTCAAAACAATGGCTTTTAATTTAAGAAACCTAATTTTCCAGAGTGGAAAAGTATAAAAACCTGAAACTTCCTATGGGTACTAATTTCTGTTAGTATTTCTCTGCACATGTCTCAGAGAGACAACAAAACAGTGAGGAGGTATCAGCACGACATGTAATGATTGTTGCATGCTGCTAGCATAATCATTATCACAGTTTTGCATGGCAAAGGAGAATCTTTGGGGAAGAAAGAGAGAGAAATTGGTTCTACCATCAATTCCTGGAATGGGTTTTTGAATAAGATACCAAGTGGATGAGGTAGGTATGATTGCATATCAGTTGCATAGCAGCAAAATCTAAATATAAAATCTGAGTGGTGGTCTCATGAGACACTAAGTGCTCCAGGCACGCTGATGAAAATAACATTTTGTTAGTGATTGCAAGGAGAAAGCATCATTGAATTTGCTGCAGAGGGGAGTAGACGTCATAGACCATGCCTAATATATGACCTGAGCCACAATCAAACTGATCAGGCAATGGATATTATGGGACTAATGATAGATTCATTTGGACTTGAAATGAATTTAAGACAGTTAAATGATGGTTTCTGGACAGAAAGATATGCTTGGGAGACAGAAAGAATGTGTGCTATTAAGAAAGTAAGCTACATTCAGCCTGCAGATAAGACCACTCATATAAGAGAAGAAAAAAGAGAGAGTAACAGATGACAGCAGAGAAGTTGGAAGAATAGTTTGGTTCTAGATACCCTCTAGTCTAGGTTGCATCCTTTGGAGCAGATGGTGAGACTATCTCTTGTCCTCACAGTCAGAGAAGAACACCAATTTGTACATCAATGTATATGAAGCATGTGTAATAATAATATTATTACATTAATACCGATCCAGTAAGGATCCACTGTTTAGTATGAGTTCAAAGTTATACCATGACCTTAGCAGCTCCAGCATCTATAACTAAAGAGGACAGTGACAAATGGCACTAACTAAAACACATTCCCCAGGAAGCTATTCATCAGGTTAGGTTTGGGAAACCTATTGTGATCCAAATTAAGAGAAGGATTTGTAAGAAATGCAATTGCATATGACCAATGTTTTGAAGATCTGCTCAGAAGATGCTTGGGTTTCTTAGATGTATAGAGAGAAATTAGGTAATTTGCCTCATCCTGTAATATCAGTATTACATGAAAACCAGAGCAAGGATGAGACATAGATAATGTATCAATTGGATAATGTTTGGCTGATAATATTGTCAATAAAGGAAAAAACCTTACTTTTTACTGATAACTTTTAACTGAAAGCTATGTAACTTCAACAAATTTAGCTTTTGCAAATATTTGCAAAGGAAAAGTATTTAACCGTTAAGTGAATCAATTATTAAGTCATTAATTATGTTATCTAGAATATATTTATTTATTTTTAAAGCCATAACAGGACTCAGAACTATAATTATGGAGTCAACACTCCTGCTCATAGCTTTAGAACTAAGCGACTTGCGCTTTTTTTCCATTAATATCAGAGATTCAGTGCTTCTGTTCAGGATATCTTCTTCAAAATTAAAAAAAAACCCCTAAAACCTTGTTGTAATAGCATTTTCTGAGAATTTATAAATAGATTTCTTCTGTTAATTTATGAATTTAAATGAAGATAAACAAATTTGCAGCTAGCTGTTCATCAGCTACTATTTCATTTGTTCTTGTACAGCATCTGCACAGGACACTCATTAAACTTTCTGTGTGATTAAAACTCGAGGACTTTCATTTTAATAAACTACATTAGATTTTTAGAGGAATATTTTTCTTGCCATTAGTCATTCTACTTCCTCTTTCTTAGATCCTAATGTTCATCTAGAGAAAATAACAGTTAGCTCAGGTCTCTTTCAGAATGACTGATGATTCCCATTTATGTGACTGGAACAGAGGCACTTTGTTCTTATCAAAATGGCAGCTGCCTCTATTGTGCTCTGGCTGAAGGAATCCTGTATTATTTATCAAGTCTGTCCATGGCAGTCATGCTGAAAGAGGACAAGTCTGTCCAAGTTTCTTGATAAGCAACGATTTTATGAAACAACCCTTAAAAGCAGATAAGCATTAAGTTATAGAAAATAATGACAATTTTTCCAGGATTGCTGCTTTTTTTTTAAGATTGTCTTGAGTTATGAAGCCTATTTATCAAAAAAGACAGAATCAAATACCATCATAATGAAAAACCATATATTTCAAATTGTATAAATTTTACTCTACAATTATATGGAAACAACTACGTATTCATCATCTTAAGAAAATATAATACAGCAAAAAATTAATTTGATAAACTTTTATCATATATTCTCCTATCTATTTTGTTTTGCTTTCTTTAACTGCCAATTTTGCATCTCCTGAGTTAACAGTGAGTGTGCTGAGGATTTTTACACATTTCTATAGTGCTTTTACCCATGTCAGCAATATACATCCTCAATGAGGATCCTGTTGCATTTTAACCTCTGAAATCATAGAATTATTTATATGCACTTTTTAATATAAATTACTATGCTACAAAGATATAATTTTTCTCACCCTAAAAGATAATGGCATATATGGAGATTCATGAAATTAACTATTTTATGCTCAGAAATACTGATATATGTCAGGTACCTTGACTTTTTCCAAGTGATCCTGCAGAGAGTCGATGAGCAGGTCCCCCACTGGCTGCCAGGACCCCTTGAAAGCCTCAGCCTGGCGCAGCTTCAGGTCCAGCTCATCCATGGCCTCCTGAAGGCCCTGCAGTCTCTCAAGAGCATCGTCAATCTTCTTTTGCCAATCAGCAGACTGTAGATTCAGCTTGTCCCACTCAGTTCTGACCTCATCTGCTTGCCTTTGCAGAAGTTTGGTGACATTGTGGGCTCTCTCCTCAGGTGACAGATCTAAATGTGAAAGTGGAGAGGCTTTTAAGACATATTCTGTCTTAGAACTAATACAGTTGCCATCAAGATAGGTTAAAACCTCAGTAAGAAGCTCTTCATAACCAAAGGCACCTGTGAAATTTGCTTTATTAATGTATTCTTGTTTCAAAGTTTCTTAAAAAACTTAAATCTTGCCTCCATAAAAATCAGCAAAATCTGCATTACGTACATAAAGATATTTTGAAACATGCAAGGTGGAGATAGAAGTTTATCAACTGATTCAGCACAATTTTCTGCATATAGATAAACATTAATCACTGTGAAACTTTTGCTGCAATTAGGTGGATTTGGGATCTCCTGTAGTACTGAGACTACAAGGTGAATTTTAGCTTAAATTGCAGCTTTGAGCCCTCAAATGAGGCTATAATTATAGACAGGTCCTGAAGGTTTAAAGGCAGTTTCAAAATCTGCTTATAAATATGCATGTCTATTTAGTACCACAGTGTTCAGAAGGATTGCTAAAGCTTGCTTTCATCTATATTTTTAGCTTAGTTTCTGAACGCTGGCATCCAGCTCAGAGTGTAAAAGGAATGCTTTCAGAGCTGCTGGCAGGATTTATTTAATCATCACTGATCATCACTGATCTTCCCAGCAATGTGTTATTGCCCTGCTCTTGCTTCAATTACCTCTGGGTTCTGGGCAGACCTTCTCCAGTGCCTCCACGGGCGGCTCAGCCACGAAGATTCGCACAGTCTCAAGGGCACTCCTGATAACGGGTTCTTTTGTTTTTATCTCCCTCTTGAAAGTCTAGGAAACAAAATTATTGTAAGTGGATCTATAAGGAAATACCAAGTCAGAATAGCAATGTCAGAACAAAATTTCCAGCAACAGATTCCACGTGTATATGACAAGAAGCAATAAAACACATGCACAAAATAAAAATAATCAGCTTTTGCTTAACCTGAAATCACATTGTATTCATATGTGCTCTTGGTACACTGCATTTTTCTTTCTTCAGCAACAGCTCCTTTTACTCTTTTGCTCTCTTCTACACCCTGCTTTTAAAGGACCATGAGCAAGTTACTCAAGATTAGTATTAGAAGCTTTGGTAGGTCACTGAAAGTACATCTATCTCAGTATTTATTAATTTCTCTATTTTTGATAGTGAGAATATAAGAGCCTATTAGGCTGATTCCAAATGGACACTACACAAAAATGCAGATGAAACCCAGCCTGTAGGTTGCATTTTGCATTGGTTCTTCTGCATGTTGCAGTGAATTTATCTAAATGGTCCTTACCACTCTTATATTTCAATGTTTTCTTCTGTATTTATGAAACATTGTTGAATACCTACAGTTTCAAGCAGCATAGAGCTAAAATATGCAGGTAATTTAATAGTACAGTGTAACACAAAACACAGTACTGCAAAAAGGAAAGCCATATGCCATGGGTAGAAAACAGATATTTTACTGTAGGGATTAGAAAATTCTCTTTGCAACACAAGCATTACATAAGTTTGTAACGTAATAAATGCACCAATTCAGCCAAATTAATTATTAAACAAAATTTGTATTTATATGAGAACTAATGAAGGATTATAAATTCAATATTAAAAAGTTCATTACACTTTGAATTATATTTGATATGTGATTCTCTGTACAGGAAATACCTACCAGAACTAATAGTGGCTACACGTACAGTTTATAATATGAGAACTCACAGGTAAAATGTTCTTAACACGTTTCAGGAAAGTAAACTTCAGGAAAAAACTACATTATTCCACTATAAAAATTTAAAGACACTTTTTATTAAATGATCAAGAACTGACCCTAAGGTTTGTAGCTGTTCTTGGGAAAACCTTTAAGAAAGTCTGCTTTGTTGAGGGAAATAGCAAAGCAAAAAATCTTCATTTTGTGTCAAGGTCAATAATGGAACTGGAATCTTTTCACAAAATCAATCTGCTATCATAAAAGAATCTGTCATTTGATTAATACCTGAGCTAAAAGTTTTAAAAAATCATGTTAATCTTTAAAAATGATACCAATTTTCACAAATAAAGAAGTGCACTGTGTATGAACAAGGAAACTACTACTGGACATTTTTTTGAATAAAAACTGAATGGAGTTACTACAAGACTGAAAGAAAAATGTCAAACTTAGACATTTTTAGATTTATAATTCTTATAATTCATGCTTGACTCTTGCATGAAGTGCAATAGAAAGAGGAAATATAATAAGCCTTTTTCATGCCTCTAAATGAGGAAAATCTATTCCTTTAATTAGCCTTTGTGTTCATCTGACATAATTTTGTCTCCATAGAATGGTGTGGCAGGTCTGCAGGTCAAGTGAGCCATCAGGAAGCATAACTTAAAATCCAGCACAGAAATTTCCATGGACAGTGTGCTTTGCTCTCTGCTGATTGTGTTAAAAGCAACATCAACAGTCAAACCCACTTAAACCAGTGGTTTTTAAACATTACATGGTGTAACAGCCTAAAGATATAATAAGTTTTAGAAATGTTTCCAAAGATGTATTATTTCTCAGAAATGTCTGTGTCCCAAATCAGTCAAAAAGGAAGATCTGTTCTGCAAACACATTCCAACAACAGGAAGGAGTCACCAATATTCTAGGGGAACACAGAAATACACTGATGTGGAGAATAGTTAAAAGCCAGAAACACCTCTGAACTATGCATTTGGGAATGAGTAAGGACTCTGTAAGGACTGCTGCTGCTGTAGACAGGTCACCCTGGCTCTGTACATGTGCACACCAGAAGGACAAAAAATACCTTTTTTCAACTTGTACTGTTTTTGCAGAAAACTACAGCAACCAAATACACTGAGTGCCATTATCTTTCCAAAAGAGGTATAAAGCCACAGTCCTCCTGTAACCCTTGTGCACAAGAAGGAGAACATATGTGCAATGAATCCCATAAAGTCTATGGGCAGGAATCTCAAAACAACAGAGAAATGCTAATAGGAACTTCTGACGTTGCACATTTTGTATTTTGTCACAAACAGAAAATGTGCCTTCTTAATAAAGGAAAACTGAGCCAATGTGTCAAACCTTTTTCCCCCCAATGTTTCCAGTCTGAATGTTGGAGCTGATGGAGGCAATTATAGTCTGTAAAATTATAGTCCTGAGTTATAGAATAATACACAGTATTTACAGTTTTCATCTCCTTCCCTCGTTTTGATCTGCAGATTTCTAACAAGTTAAAATACGTTTCAATTAAAGAAATTTGAAAAGGAGAGGATGAAAAAAACATAAGGCTGAAGCAGTAGCACAGAACAGCATTAAAAATAATAAATTTCATACTAACCCATTCCAAAAGAAAGTTCTTACTGTATGAAGATAAAGCAGCTTTTTGGATTAAAGTTTTGTTGTGGGATATGTATACATTACCAGTAAAAATCATAAATAGCAACATTTTCTTTTTTTTTTTTTCTGAGGGAAAAAAAAGGAATTTATCTATCCAGAGCCCTGACAAATACATCTTTATAATAACTAGGCCATCACTGAAAGCAGAATTAACCTAAATGAATTTCTAATGTACAACTAATGATTGCAGGCTAATTTCATTGAATTCCTTAACTTCTTCCACACTTCCCAGTGACTGTAGAGGAAATCGAATACACATAATGCATGACCTGACAAAAAAGTAAGTAAACTACTTTATTTAAGCATGTCTATTTGTCATCAACACTACAGCAGTAATGGCATTCTGTCCACCATTTTAATAATGCATATATTGATCAGCTTATCTCGGACCTCTATCACCTCATGAGTGTCCTTAAATCTCTTTAAATGAAGGAACAATGATTGTTTAAATTGAAAAATGAAAATATAATGAGAAAAATAGTTGCATTAGTAAAACCAACATTAACCTCTATTACTTAAAAAAAAGGAATTTTTGCTTTTAACGTATTTTAAAGAGAAAGAGTACAATCATATGAATTCAACACATTTGCCAAACACAATGCTTTTCAAAATATGAGGTTTGTCCTAATAGTAAGAGGAAGATATTAACTGTGGACCTTAATTGGTTAATGTGTTGAAGTAGGAACTGTACTCCTCCTTAGGCAGTCGTGCTACAGATTTCATGTGAAAGGGTTTCCATGGAATTGTTAATAAGTGCCTTCTGTGTTCAAAAATGCTATTTATGCTGTTAATAAAATCACTACACAACAAATGAGGCAACTCTTAAAAGAATGAAAGACATAGCAGGCAATCTGCATGATGCCTGAGTTACTTAAATTAGATTAATGGTAACATGCACAAAGTTGTTAATTCAATTTCACTAAAGCAATATTTTGATACTTAGTAAAACAAAGAAAAATGTAAGATAATTAAATAATGTTTTGAAGAACAGGAGTATTTTTTTATCATTGACTAACACCACCACCACTACTCCTCCCCACACATTCTTAGACTTTGGAATAGAGACAATTTCTTTCAAAAATTGCAAAAATGACCTACTATATGTATAAGTTCAAACAAATAGCAATTATGTGGGTGCATTTGGGATATATTACAAATTTCCTTGTCTAAAAAGCACCTCACATTTATAACACAACAATGATTTTAACTGCATGGATACCCCTCTTCTCAGTTGAGTTCAAGCTCGCCTCTGGCACAGATTCAAGCATTTGAAATTTTAATCTGAATCCTACTCTTAAAATTTTTAGGGCAAATCTTGGCAACTAGGAGCACTCAAGTGGTAAGAACTGACTTCTTTAAATCTCTTTTTATGAATCTCTGTGGTGTTTCAGATGTTCTTCTGAATGATAGAGAGGTTAAATATATTTGCTCCTCTTTAAATTTTACCTTTAAGGGAAAAAAATAAAAACAGCTTGCAACACTTCTTTAGAAAAAGGATTCAGGCATAAAATCATGTTGGCATTCATCGTGTTATTTCTCAATTGTATCAGTTAAACTGCATTTAAATAGTGTTCGCCTGATGAGGCTCATTCACTTATCAAGTGAAGAACTTAACCGGGTTCAGTTCTGGCATTACCTGACAAAAACAATCCTTCACAGAAGAAAAATCAAACACTGTGCTTATGAAGAAAGATCAAAACTGGAAATTCTAGTAATTTAAAAGATTGGTCAGATCTGATAGGTGCTTCTCTAGTTTACTGAACACTAATTTTCAGAAGAACAAAATGAAGAGTCATCAGATTCTTTTTCTCAAGATCAACACACAACTACTGTTTAGTTTCATATGCAACACCCTGAGAGCTAAGCTCTTCTCTTAAGCAAAGGCCCAAACCTCTCAGCTTTCCAGTGCTGGCCCCCAGTTTTAAGATAGTTAATTGTACACTTGTGAAAACATTTGAAAACATTTTCCTTATGTTCAGAAATCTGCTAAGCTGTTCATTCTGATATAGCCATTGTATATCTGCCTCTTTAGAAGAACCTGTTAAAGTGACAAAGTCCATAATGCCCAGGGGAAAAAAAAACTCCAACCAACCAACCAACCAACCAACCAACCAACCAACCAACCAACCAACATGTTGCAAACATAGATTTTGTCAACAGCAATCTGAAGTCAACTTCCCTGTTGATTGTTTTTCCCTTCTCTGTCAGAGACAGTTGAAGATTAGACAAGGCAAATAATAATTTCATGTATTCTGTTATGTTCTTTTTTACCAAAGGGAATCAGCATACCTACACTCATGCTTCTGAAGTGCTACAGAACGGGAAATGGAAAAAGAAGTATTTCTGAAAGGAAATAAAACATTCTAGATTTGATACTAGACAGGATGACCAAAGCTCTGTGTTATGTACCTGCAGGTGGCAGAGAAGTGAAAAAAGAGTAGTGAGAGCTATTTTATGACGTCATTTTGCCCCTACTCATGGTATTCTAATTTTATGCAATAATTCTCATCCCTTAAAATTCCAAATACTTCATTCGTTTGGTGTGTGACAGAGACATCACTGAAGATTTCATCACTGAAGATTTGCCACCTTTATGATGAATTCTTTCTTGGAAATCCTTAAGCTGCTTATAGAGCGATATACAACACTGAAATACTATAAGAAGTAATTTCTTTAGATAAAAAATATTTCTTCTATCTAGGAGAAAATGTTTTAAAATACTTAAATATTATTTAGATGGAAAAAGTTTTGTTGTAACAACTCTATAGAAATCTCTCTCTGTGTCTTGTTTTGGCTCGAGAGTTGTCTTTAAAGAAAGAGTTTGAGTTAATGTCACACTGACTGAAAGCAACATCTATATTGCTTCTTTCATCCTGATATTCTGGATGGCCTTTAAAACTACTTTATGGAAGTTGCTACTTTATGGCTAAAACAGACCTCAGGCTTCTCTTAACTTTCATGGTTATATATAACACTTGCCTTAACTTTCTTAGGGGAAAGGTGAAAAAAGGAAAGGTGCTGCCCCATAAAGTCATGGATGTTTTCACCTCACTGTCTCTGTGATAGTTCTTTAAGTCCCACATAAAATTTGGTGAGAAAGACACATCCTACACAGCACATCTCCAGAGGGAAGACCTAGGAAATGTGACGAAAATGCCCCTTGCAGAAAACCATTATATTATCTTAGAAAAATTTGCCACAGAGAGAGACAGAGATGTTTTTTGTTCATCTTTCCCTTTTGCTTTCTCAATCATTCAGTGAAGATAGGTCCTTGAAAATACATATGGAGACTACTTCCCATAACTTTGTTGCAGTAGAGGAATGCCTGTGTGCCTATGGAAAAAGCCATGTCTGACTTGTATTTCCTGACTTTTCACAAGCTCAGGGTCTTAAAGCAGCGAGATATGTCATGTTCACTTTGCAAATTTGATCTCATTATCTGTTCTCAAATATTTCCCTCCCCATGAGAAAGGACAATATCTTAGAGCAATATTTATATACAGCTACCTGATGAACAGAAAAAGCACTGATTCTATTTTGTTTTAAAGCACCATTTCACATTTCTCCATTAAACAATAAAATCAGAGATTTAGGAACTTCAGAAACAATACCTTTTGTGGCAAGTTTCACAAAGGAAGTTACATATATATAGCACAATGCTTTGAGAGGATGATCATTGCATTTGGAATATTCTTTCCTCATGAAATCAAGTTGACAGACTGATAATATAAATTTTTCAATAAAAATTACATTTGTTGGAAATAACTTTTCAGGTAATACCCTGAAGCATAATCGGACATCAAACAGGAAGTAAAAACCTCCTATGATGTCATTAAAGACACATGGAGATGAAGGGGAGGAGAGCTTGACTGTATATTGAGCAATAGAGGTACTAGAACCATGACTTCTCATTCAGAACTGAATAGACCTCAATGGCATATGAAATTCAAGACTGTTTAGGTGAAGTACATTAGGTTAGTATCAGATTGGTGTGAATTGATTAAACACTGAAGACATACTTTAACAATACCCTCACCACAACAAAAAATCAGTGTGAATATTTGTATGAAGAATTATTCTTGAAGTATTACTCTGGGGGTTGCTCATTTGGTGGGTTTAAAAAAAAAGCAACTTCAAGAGTACAAGTGCTCTATTTTAGGTTCTCTTTTAACACCAATCTTAGTCTAGAATGGTCCCCCATATGATGCTCTGCTATGGTCTTTCCATAAGAATTCCCTGATGAAACCAGTATGAACCACAGACAGTTATCACAACAGTTTCATGGTGCAGAGCTGTGCAATAGACCTGATACCAGCTACTCTTGTCACAAATGTTCCCAAAACCCAAACTAGGGTTTCAAAAAGTATACATAAAGTTGGAATGCTTGAGATAGAAAAAACAATCAGAACTAATTATTTAATCCTCAAAAATTACTAGGTTAGTAATTGTTCTGGCTATGAAATCTGCCTGTCTGTGACAGGTCTCTGAAGGTCATGGGCATTAACACCTCCTTCTCCAAAAGGCTGAATTTCTCTGCTGTGTTTGATAGCTGTAGCTGGAGTTCTTTCCAACAAGGACTGTGCCATGCAGCACTAGCCAGCACAGGAAAAAAACATGACAAAAGAGAATTTAAAAAAAAACACCAACATACCCGATGAATATCATTCTGTTTCTGCACAGTGGGGAGATCTCCACCAATGGGTGCTTGCTGCTTTAATTCATCCTCCTTCAACTGCAGCCATGCCAAAAGTTCCTGAAGGGAGAGATGTAATCGCTTCCACTGGTCGGTACTGGCTTCCAAATGAGATCTGAAAGCATGTGTTAAATAGAAGATAGATTCAGGCACAGTGGAAGTAAAAACCAAACTGTACAAGCTTATTTACTGAGCAAGATCCTAGTGTTTCATTAAGTTAATGATTTTTGAATAGCTTCAGTAGCTTTGAATTAGATTCTGGCAACGCAGATTTAAATTTGGTTCCACAGTCCTGGCTTTTTTTCACATCTCCTGATTTTTGCTTTTGATTCATTGGGAATTTTTGGCTTTTTTAGTTTCCCTCTTCAGCAGTGAGTAATGGCTATGCTGAATTGTCAGTCTCACTAGAAGCGCACAAATATTATGCAGGACTAGCATGAAAATGTAGTCATCACTTAGGATTACTGAGACATTATTTACCTGAAATGTAGAGAGTAGTTTCCCAACTCAGAGAAGAACAAGCATTTCTCTAAATCACTACACAAACCAAATTACATAAGATTAATTCTCTTGATTTTTTAAAATAAGACAACCAATACCATTCTTTGGAAAAAAAGTAATGAGGAAATTGTTAAAGCAAATAGAATCCTCATACACTATTCAGCTTAATGTCAGTGCCATTTTAACAAAGATATGAATGAAACTATTTGAAACACTGGGAAAATTAAAAGGTAAAATAACATTTTTTGCAAAAAAGGCCTCCATAAGGACATTTTCTAAATATTTCCTCTGTATATGCATAAATGTGGTTTTTTGGGATCAAGTATTGAGCTTCTAAATTTCAGCAACTGTTTCCTGTGGCTGCACTGATAAAATTTTCACTTTTCTCTGTACTATAGATAAACCCACTAAAATTGTGTCTTTCTGGATGTATGAATATGCTATTTTTTAATTTCTGGTTAGGAAAAAAATCCAATTTCACCTCCAAGTAACATAAGAAATCCTCTTAGAAACTCAAACCAAAGGAGTATTACATAACAGTAAAATAAAAACGTGTGCTGGGAAATAAAGACACATTTTCTTTTATTTAATACATTTCTGTTTAAGTTCTAGCTTTGTTCATATAACATTTGTCTTCTTCTACAGTGATTGCACATAAAATCATTCTCTTCTGACACTAAGAATTCTACTCCTATACCTTATATATAATGTTCTATAAAGAAATGTGAAAAATATGGACTCAGCATTTTTGCAAACCTTATTACTTATTTTGGATATGGAAATGATGAATTGATGAAGGTAGGGACAGTTGCATTTCTCTGAAATGCTCTGTGAATCCTGTCTTCTTTCCAACCTCTTACATCAGGTAAAGTGGCAAGGAAAGAGAAAGGAAAGGGACAGATCAGCCATGCACTGACAGAAAATTCAGCTGCTCTCAAAGTATGTGAGCTAATGCAAAATCTTCTCTTTTTTCAAACTTAAATGCTACATGTGAAGGACACATATAGACCCTACATGTGAAGGACACTCCTAGACCAGGCCTTTGGATCTGTTCTCTCACAGGGCATCTGGGAGCTGGGGCAAAACTGCATCACAGCAGGGGAGGCCAGTCCTGCAGGCAGTGAAGTCTGGAGAAGGCACTGCAAGCTAAAAGATTTAGATTATATATATGTTCATATATTATAAATTATTTACAGTTAGGGTGGTGAGGCACTAGAACAAATTGTGCAGAGAAGTTGTGGATGCCCCATCCCTGGAAGGGTTCAAGGCCAGGCTGGATGTAGCTTTGAGCAAGCTGAATATGTTCTTCCCCATGGAAGGGGTTTGCAATGGATGATCTTAAGAGTCCTTGCCAACCCAAACCATTCTTTCATTCTATGATACCTCTGAAAGGAGCAAGGGGGAGAGAAGCTGGGATATTTATGGAGAGGGAACAGCCAGGGCAAGGACCACAGGACTTTAGGACAGGAGGCAGACAAGGAGCTGAGTTTCTGATTCAGGCTAATTCCCTTGTCTCATGTTTATCTTGGCATAGACAAGCTTCCACATCTTCGGGAGAAGGGCAGCAAATGTAAGCAAACACTTCTTCCCTGCTTCCCCTGGCTTTACAGGAAAAAATGCAAAAAGAGTGACCTGAAGGGGTTGTGTTACTGCTGTTTTGCTCTGACCTCCCTCAGTTGGGTGATTTTTGTTTCCAGAACCTGTTTTGTTCTGTTCTTCATCTTCAGGAATATAGTTTTATGCATGCACACACCAGTGTACATTATATGCACACACGAATGTATTTATGACTGTGTTCAAGATATGCAGACAAAAGAGATAATACTAAAACAGTATAAAAGCATATTTATAAGAAAGAAAGTGTTTTTCAGTGTAAACTGTGCTGACATATCAGGATGAAAGAAAGTTAGGAATGGAAAAGTGCTTGGCTTCTCTTTAATATCTACCATATGTTTTATCTAATGCATTTAGAAAAGAATACCCACACAGGGTCTTCTGTTTCAGCAGACTAAAAATGGCACTAAATAAAGAAACTTCTGGGACTGATGTCTGGAGAACATTTAATGTGTCTTCTCTAATACCTCTTTTGTGTAAGCATTGCTAGTTATGAGGAAATGTATTCCATTCTGTGCTATGGATAGAAAGAGCTCCAAACAGGCAGACTGGGAAGAGCCTTTTCATTTAGTCTGGTGGCCAGCAACACTTGAATGTCTGAGAATTTAGGAATTGTTTCTTATCCTAACCACTAAGGGATTGAAGAACTTAAGCCTTTTATTGGAAGCACAGGTTTTAGAGGGAAGGTTTGTTGCTTTGAATGTGCAATGCAGGAAGTCGCTGTGATATAACTGGGGCTTACTGGTTCTGACTCAGTTAATGACAACAATACATTAAACTGTAAAAAAATGAAAGACAGAAAGTCCCATACATTTAATTAAAGATATTTGGACAACTGACTATTTTTATCTCAAAAATCACTGTATTTGAACAAGTTCATGGGTAAAATGCACGCCAGCAAAAAAAATCTCAGACACTTTGAAGGGTTTTAGTCCTCTTCTTTTGCTCCTCAGAAGGAAAGAAAAGGAGGAATAAGTCTCTTTCTTCAGTTACAAATATATTTTCAGCATCACAGCCTTCATTTATTTTTAATGATTGATGATACAAAGATGGTTTTTGTCATTACACAGCCTGACCTCCCTCAGGACCTGAGCTGAAAAAAGCTAATATTTCATACATTACTTTGGAAAACACTTCTCTCTTTTGCTGCCCTCTGAACTACTACCAACACACAGAAAGTGAAAAAATGAAAAAATGCCCAAGACTGAGTGCAGCTGAGCTGGGTTGCCTATTGCAAAAGCTGTTTGTCTGGAAAAAAACTTTCCAGGACAATTTCTTTTGAAATGAGACCTTCAGTCCATTGAAGCCTGAATGACCATTTGATAATTTGTAATGTTACCATTTATTGTATTTCTTCTTGCAAACGAAAGTGTTTTCTCTCATTATATTACCTATGAATTTCTTTTACCCCTTGATTTTATTGAGCAATTCTGCCCCCTCTCCTGACAACAGTTAAAATCTTAAATAATTTCTCATTTGTGAGGATATTTTTAGTTTTGCACTGGAAACAGCAGTCTTTAAAATGAAGCTTATCATAAATATTGGCTATTTAATCACTCTCTTTCATGACTCACTGGTAAGTCATACTCAGCTCTAGAAAAAGCCCACATTTAGAGGGGGTACAGTTACAGTTTCTTTCTGTAATTACAAAACCCCATCAATATGCCTCACACCCTAATCCTCTACTTTCATTTTCACACCCGAAAACCGAATCATTCTTACAAAGTTGAGCCTACATCCAAAGCAGCACAAACAATTTCAAAATAGACAAAAACATGCTAACAGAAACAAAATTAAACCTTTTCACTTGCAAATTGTAGCATTCCAATACACCAATGATAGGCTTTTGCTTAGGTTCAGGTCCTACCTAATGTTTAGAGATTTCTTCCTAAGTTCACTCCATCTGAGGTTCATGTTATCCAGACGTCTCTGCAGCAGGGTTGCATCCTCAGAGCCTTCCAGGGACCTCAGGATTTTCTGCCCATTTTCATCCAGGTTGTGAAAGATGTCAGTGTGAGCATCAATTTCTGCCTGTAGTTCCTATGGAAGCAATAGAAAACAATATATCTGATTTCTGTAAAAAATCACAGAAACTATACTTTTTCAAAAGAGTGAAAAAATCCTCAGTGCAGCACAGAGCACAGGTTTTCATTACTCCTTTTACAGCAGTATCATGTTCTGTATACAAAGACATGTTTCCCTTCCACATGAAGGCCATTTGCATTGAATATGACCTTTTTTCCCCACACAGAACATACTGAACAAAATTTAGAGAGCCAAAGGTGTAGCCTTTGATAGACAGCAAAGACAAGATATATTAATTGTGCTGATGTGAAAAAGCAAAGAACCACAAAATGCTCAGGGTCTCAGGTAAATCTGACCTGCACATGATACGTCTTCCTGTGCAACATTTTCAGTTTGAGCTGGGGACTGCAACACTGGTCCTGCTGCATGGCAATTCCAAGGAATCTAGGAGTCTGCAGCAGTCAGGCTTTAAAATGCCAAGTTCACTCACATTCTGTTGACATAATGCATTTTGGAGCACAGGCCCCAGCAGTCAATAGCAATAAACAGCCACTTTGTGCTGTATCAAAACACTGGTTGGGGCTGTAGGAGGGCCTGAGAATAGCAAGGACCCAGAATATGCAACTGGCAGCTCATGTTGAACAGCCAACTTTTCTTATCGCCTCGGAACCGCAGGCCAGCTCGAAATTTTGAATTCATTTTTTCCCCCTCATTTTTAGCATGGCTGTTTCTGCCAAAAGAACATTCTTTAGAGAGCTGCCTGGTACCAGCATTCCTGCCTGCCCACACACTCAATGCAGCCTTTGTGTGCTGGCTGCCCTTCCCCAAGACGTTTGCATGCTGCAGCTCCACAAGGTCAGATTCATTTGCAGAGAACAGTGGTTGAATCAAGGTCATTAAATGGAATAAAAATAATAATAATATTAATTCCAACATGTACATGAATGAGCGTACATATACTTTATATGCAGCCACGTTTGCACAAAAGTACTTTTACTTTCAAACAAAGAAGCACACAAAGACACAAGAAATACTGAATTGTGAATAAAGCTCCACATTTTCTCCTAGGATGCTGGAGCACTAAGATTTCTGGTGGTGGTTTCTTGCTGCCTGAAATGAGAGTGCTAAAGTGGGGCAGAGGAAATGATTTATGGCATTTGAGAACAAGACCCAGCACTAACTGAGCATCACAGAGAGTCCCCAATGGAAATTTGTTGTAATTTTCTTCAGAAGAATGACTTTTAAAGAGGGGACCACACAATCTGTCTACTTGGTGTGTTCTTAATTGAATTGGTTTTATTTGATATTTTAAGTGCAATGTTAGCTGCACTGAATGATGAGTAGATTGCCCTTGTTCACCTACTGCTGTTCCAAATGTCCTTAACTGGATACCTTTCACAATGACTAGCAATGACTAGCATAATATTTGGGGAAGTTTTAAGGTGGGCCAGCAACATCTTTGATACAGAGTAAGAATCCTTCTCCAACTATTTTACTTATCTGTTGTCATTCAAGCAGCAAAGTACTTAGAAATGAGTTTCATGTACATCAGAGGTAACTCTGAAGAATGCAAGTGTACTATAAATATTGCATTTATTTATTGTTGTTCAGGCAATCTATATTTTTTTAAACAGTATTATTAAGGTACATAAAAATGTACAATATTCCAGGTATGACTGTCCTAACTTGAAAATTTGTATTTTATTTCAAGTCTGAATGTTGCTAGCTTCAACTTCCAACTTAATTTTTTTTTTTACTTGAATGAAGAATAGCTTATTACCAAATTTCTTTCCTTCAATGTATATATTTTGAGATATTACTTAAACTAGGTTAAGTATAATAATACTGATGGAAAAAGCTGAAACAACCTGTAAGAAAGGATAAAGTTCACAGAAAAAAGTTAACTATTAATGTCTGTATAGTTCTAAGGTCCTCCTACATTTAATAAGAAATAAATCTATTATTGGACAAAAGAATTGCATGCACTACCTGTTTCTCAAGTTCTTAGTTTTCAGGGTAGTGATGGAAACACCAAACTTACAAACTTGTTCCTTTTCCTTGGCAAGAACATGTGCATGGAATATGTTGAATAACTGTTCACAATAGGAAGCTGTCAAATCTATGCCCTCTTGGTGTTTTACCACACATACGCTCATAGCAATATATAAGACAAATTGAAGGGAAAAAACCTTTCCACGTTTTTCTTGTGTTTAGAAAATGTGTCTTATAGTCTGCACATTTTATTTCTTTCTCCAGAGACATGCATCATTCTGAAAATAAAAGCAAACGCCATCCTTTTTATTTTTCAGAATACCACATAGTATCCCAAAACATCTGGATGGTTAGGTGGACAATGAACATTAAAAGTGAAGTATTCTTATCAAAAGCTTAATAGTCAAGAGAGAGTTTTCCTTATTCTAAATTACTTGTGTATTCTGCACTGCTTCTAATGCTCCCAAAAGCAGTTTACTGCAGCTATGCAGGAAGCCTACACTGACAAAGAAGCCAGACAACAATAGTGATATTTTCTCCATTTAGGTTGGTGCATTCAGTGCCTTTCTTTGTGACACTTACAGATCCCAAGAGAAGCAGAGACCATATAAGAAAAAGATCTATACACCTTTTATTTGTTTTCTGAAATAAATAAATCCATGTTTTAAAAACATAATTATTCTTTTTCTTGACAACAGTAAAGCAGGAAGAGCTATTTAATCTCAAAAATTGCTAAAGTATTTGCAAAAGCATGCTGTCATTACATGTCATACCAAGAAGTATAGCATATACACTATAGACATATATTATTTATTTCGCTTTCATATTTTCCAATGTGTTCAAACACATGAAAAGACTACAGAGGATAAAAAAATCAATCCTGGTATAATTCTACTGAGTTACAGTTGGAGTGGATGCTGCATTTTTGCTGTAGTTGTTACTACTGAGACTGTGCTGAAAAAAGATTGGCTATCAGCTCTTAAAAAGAGCAGAGAGCAAAATGAAAAGCATCTTTTTGATCACAAGCTCCTTCTTAGAGTGAGCTGAACTGCCTGGAAAGAACTGCAGCTTCATTATGGGCTGAGGGAAGTCTGCTTTATTAAGATGAACTTAGATGACAAAAGGCACCATAATATTTGTTTTTAAAAACTGAACATGTATTAAAGGTTTCTACACATTTAAAAATGTGTATTTACATTATTTTATTCTGTAGAATAAGTGTGCAACTAAGACACAGAACTAGGGTGATAGAGAGATGAAATGCATTTTGCCTTGAGGAAAAAAATCTTGTTGGCAAAACAGGGTGAGGAAAGTTGCTCTGGCTGTTTCACTTTTTTTCTGAGCTCTTGTGGCCACCACAAATGATTTCAGAGAAGTACATTAAGGTGGTGAGCACACCCAATGCTGCCAGAAAGGTAGGGGATGGGTATATTTCTCACTTGGTCAATTCAGTTGTTCCCCCTTGGAATTCCTGCTCCCATTCTCCATGGAAGTACAGCTCCTCATGCCCTAATTCCTCTGGTAGGCAGAAGAAATTCACCTGTAGCTACACAGGTTTTATTTCACACAGAGCCCTTCTAAGCACAGCTGAGCTGTTGCTGTGAAATCCAAAGCACTCAAAGCTCTGTCAGCTTCCACCCAGCATAGACAGTCCTGCAAGAATTCAATGTGGTTTGAGATTGAGAAACAATTAATCAGTGTCAATATCCTTCATATCCCACATGTAATATATAGACATGACATATAAAGGACATGACACATATCAAAATCTGCCAGTATTTTGGCAATACACTAGAGAGGGATTGATAGTCTAGAAGTAAAATGAAGCACTAGGAAGAAGGAATTCGTTCTATTTCTTGGACTATAGATTAGTCATGGAAAACATAGAAATCAATGCAGTGCTGATGACAAAACATTTATACAAGGTAGAAAAATTCAGTATGCAATAATTTAAAGAAATTAAATGACCCAAGTTCTCCTCTATTTGCAGCTCTGTAAAGCACATCTTAGCAGTTGAGCAATTGGATTTCAAATTAACTATCCTACCTGATTTTATTTAATTACATCTAAACTCCTCTAAATTTCTGATTCTGCTTAAAGCATAAACTCTGTGTGAGTGTTTAGAGAGTTTGTGACATTTTTTCAATGCCCTGGCACAATCCAGCAGCCTTTGGAGGCACAGAAATCCATGCTCATGGCACCACTCTCAGGATCATGGCTTAGGCAGAGGGATGGTTTTGTGAGTGTTACAGTTCTGGAGATGTTGAATTAAGGGTACAGCAAATCAAATACATTTTAAGCAGCTGAGTGATAGATTCAGTGCAAGGTGCTGTTTCTTTTGTTTTTGGCCACAGAAGGCAGTTTGCACTAGGCTTTACAGCAACCAGCAACCAGTGGTTGTTGCCATTGGAACAGAAGCAAATTTATACTTTTTTGAAGGAGAACATTTGTATCTGAAGATGCTATGATTTAGATTAATGATGGAACAAACCAGTGAAGCATTTCTGGTCCCTTGGAAGTTCTCTCTTTTAAATGCCACAGTTCTTGTAAAAACTGGTTGTTGGATTTGTTTTTTGCTTTTTGTTTTTTTCCCCTTTTTTGATGCTCCCCATTTCCCCATCAAGCTCTTAAGTAATTTTCTCTCCCAGTCCATAAGCAAAACTTTTATTGAGTCTTTAGAATGAGACCATTCACTGAACAATTTACATAATGATAAAAACTTCTCAAATGAGATTTAAAATATAATTAAAAGGCAGACTTACTGAGTTAAAAGCATTGTTGTGAAATAGCTATACATCACCATGCCAAGAAGCCTCCTATTCAGCTAGCCTATGGCATGACCCCAATTCCAGTCTGGTATGATTACATCTCTGAGTTTCATGCTAATGACTTGATTAAAAAGAATGATAAAAAGGTCCTTTCCATTGTGAAGATAAGCTTATGAATATAATTAAGGCATTTCTGGTTTCCCAACACATTTTTCAAGATAAAAAAGGGTAAGAGCTAGTCCTCTAGAAGAGAAT